GGGCTTGATTTCTCACAGGATATCAAATCATAAAGTATTAGAACTGGTGGGTGGGGCTTAGAGAACATACAGGCCAATTCTCTAATTTTTAAAAGTAAGTTTATATTGATATCTTTTGTTTTTTACATCATCGTATTTTTCCTGAAAATTTCTCCCCCTCCCAGAGAGCCATCCAACATGATAAGTAGTATTTTTTAAAAGATGATAAAAAAGGGAGGGGCAGCTAGTTGGTGCAGTGGATAGAGCACAGCCCTGGAGTTAAGAGGACCTGAGTTCCAGTCTAGCCTCAGATACATAACACTCACTAACTATGTGACTTTGGGCAAGTCAGTCACTTAACTCCAATTGCCTCATGCACACAGAACAAAAAAAAGATAAAAAAAGGGAAAATCAGCATGACTGGTCAATACATTGAAAAAGTACAAAAACAGGTGCAACGTGTAATACCTGTGGACCTCCGACTTCTGCAGAAGGGTGGGTTGGGAGTATCCTCATTATCTCTTCATTTGAGTCATGCTTTGGCTTTAGAATTTTGCTACATTCACTTTTGATTGTGTGTCTGTGTGTGTAATCATGCTTTCCATTTACATTGTTTTAGTTACTCGGTATATGTGTTCTTGGCTCTGCTTCTGTATCAGTTCATGGAGATCTTTTCATGTTTCTCTATATTCATCACACACACCATTTCTTATAGTACAGTAATATTCAACTACCTTCGTATACAACAGTTTCTTCAACCATTCCCCAGTGGCTGGGCATCTACTTTGTTTCCAATTCTTTGCCACTAGAAAAAGTACTGCTATAAATATTTTGGTGTATATGGAACTTTTGTTCTTATTAATATCTTCCTCAAGGTATGACCCTAGTAATGAAATCTCTAGATCAAAGGTTATGGCCATTTTAGTCATTTTATTTTCTTAATTCCAAATTGTTTTTCCAGAATGGTTGTCCCATTTCATAGCTCCACCAATAATGTATTAGTGTGTCTGTTGTTCCACATCTCCTTCAGCATTGATTATTGCTGTTTTTTGGTTATTTTTGCCAATTTTCAAGGTGTGAGGTAAAACCTCAGGTTGTTTTAGTTTACATTTCTTTATTGTTATCATTATTTGGAGCATTTTTAAAAATGTGGTTGTGAATACTTTGCAATTCTTCTTTTGAGAATTGTTTCTTCACATCCTTTGACTGTTTTTTAAATTGAAGAATGGCTATTAATCTCATATATATTAACATTATGTGTGTTAATTATATATCTTGGATACCAAACCCTCTCAGAGAAATTTGATACAAAGAGTTTTTTTTTTCCCATTCAACTACTTCTCTTCTTGTCCTAGGTGCATTCATTTTGTCTATGCATAATCTTTTCTTAACCCTCTATTTTTAAATAAGATGACAATGAGCCTCAGAGAAGGTTTGTAACTTATCCAAGGTCACAAAGCAAGCCAGTAGCAAAGCTGAAACTGCATTCCAGGTCTCTTATTCCACCAACCTCTCCCAATACTAGCTTCACATGCATAGAACATTTTATGGTTTACAAAGCACCATTCTCACCACCTTGTGAGACAGCTAGGTGGTGTCATAATCCCAATAATTCTGGGCCTGGAATCAGAAAAACCTGACTACATTTACTAGCTGTGTGACCCTGGGCAAGTCACTTAAAATTTCCCTGCCCCAGTTTCATCATCTGTAAAATGGGAATAATAACAATAGCATCTACCTCACAGGGTTTTTGTGAGGATCAAATGAGATAATATATGTTTTGTTCTAGAAAGCAGAGGTGAGTAGTTGTGTCAAGACAACAATAGAAGAAAGAGGGAGAGGAGGAGGAGGAGGAAGAGAAGGAAGAGGAGGAAGAAGAGAAGAGAAGAGAGAAGAGAAGAAGGAAGAGGAGAAGGAGAAATAATATTTACTAGCATTTTCAGGTTTGCAAAGCAGTGAGTAGTTATGACAGAGACCACAAGGGGTGCTCTTATGGCTTCACAGTAATACCATGAATACCAAGAATCATCCTACCATGACATCTTATTATCACTTTTTTTTTGTTACCAGCTTGAAATCATGTCAAAACAAGAAGAGGGGGAAAAAGGTGGTTTTGTTGTTGTTTTTACAATTTTTTTAACCACAGGCCTGAGATTGAAATTTTTCTGAATGAGAAGAACCCTCCCATCTACTGTGATCCAAACATTGAATGGTTTTGGAAATTAGCTTTTGCTGCAGACTTGATAATGATTCTTAATGAATTCAACCTAAAATTACGAGGCAAAACAGCTTTTATATGTAAAATTTATACTGTGATAAAGTCAATTAGAAGACAATGTTTGAATCATAAGTAATATCAAGCTACTTCTTATGCTGTCAAAAGTTCAAACAAGAAGCAAGATCTCATTCATACATAAATTTGTCTTGGATATATTTTGGGCTCAAATTATAGTTCCAACAGTAATTTTTGGATCTTGATGCTAGTGTAAAATAAATGTTTATATTTCAAAATACATTTAACTGTGCAAATGAGGACTTTCCACTTAACTTTCCATTGGCAAAGCAATTGAAGTTAAGTGACTTGCCCAGGGTCATACAACTGGTAAGTGTCAAGTGTCTGGTCTGAGATTGGATGTGAATTCAGATCCTCCTGAATCCAGGGCCAGTGCTCTATCCACTGTGCTGCCCCTGATATAAATACTTCTAAAAAGGCAAATACAAAGAAAGCAATCTTATGGAATTCTATTAAATGTGTTCCAAGCAATGAATACACTTATTTAAAATGATATGCTCATGGGCTGATATCAATATTTTCAATACCTCTTTCTGTGAAAAGGCATTTTCAGAGATGAAATATGTAAAATCTTATTACAGATTAGCTGATGAACATTTGCATTTTATTTTGATGATAGGGAATACTAACTTTGAGCTCCAATTAAGTGAAATGGCAGTCCCCCCAAAGAGAATTCCATTCTTTTAATTATTATGTTATTGCCAAAATACATATACTTAATTATTATGATTATATTTTAAATTTAATCCATAAAAACTTTGTGGAAATTTGTTTTCTCTATTATATAAGTGTCTATATAATATCCTTTGCCTCTTGGCCCATAAAGCCTACAATATTTAGTATCTGGCCCTTTACAGAAAGAGTTCAGTGGCCTCTGCACTAGATCTCTTTGGATTCCCTCAGAGTGTCTTTTCTGCTAAACTGGTAGAGCTGGGCCTTGGACCCCAGGGCTTCCAGGTCAAGAGTAATCAGGACTTCTGCTTCACCTTTCCTGAAATTAGGGTCAGTTCTGTCCTTTATGTGGAATTTCTTACTGACTCATTTTCAAGGTCAGGTCTCCAGTTTCTAAGCATTGCCTGATGCATAGCAGATCCTCAGTAAGCATTTGCTGAATCAATGCCAGTTTTAGCTGTCGAGATTCCCATGCCCGTGGGTCCAGGAGAGTTCAATAACAGGTCCACATATGGAAATACACAAAGTAAGTAGAAATAAAGAGTGAGAATAACCAAAATTCCCAGGAGGAGCCTGAGAAGATTGGTCAGGTAGAAACAGTGGAGGTAATAGTAATCAGAGTAGGCTTCCTGTAAGAAGGGAATTTTTAATCCAGCTTTGAAGGCAGTTCGTAGGCTCATAGCCTCCTTTAACAGAAAAGGAAACTGAATGCCACTGGTCAGAAAAAAAAACCAAGCTGGCATTCAAACTTTCATCATCTGACCTGAGGTAGAGCACTCTTTCCACTACAGTACGGCAGCATAATCTCAGTTCAGTGCATCCAGGCCCTTGTTCCACAATGGGGAGACAGAGAGAGCTATGACACAGAGCCTGCTCTCAGTCAGCGTATGGTCTGATGGGTCCAAGTGGAGCAGGTAGGTGTAGAGCTGATAGAATGCCAGACTTGGAGTCAGGAAGGCCTGAGTTCTAATCCTGCCTCAGGTGCTTACCAGCAGTGTGATCCTGGGCAAATCACTTAACCTCTCACCCTCAGTTTTCTTACTTATATAACAGGAGGGGTGATAATACTAGCACCTACATCACAGAGCTGTTATGAGAACCAACTGAAATAATACGTGCAAGGCGCTCTGCAAACTTTAAATAAATTCTGCAAGTGCTATTACTGGACATACGAATCACAATGATACAAGACATGGGGGCACCAGAGGGGCCCAGGCAAATTTCTACGAAAGAGTTAAGGCAGGAGAGATCTCTTTCATCAAGAGCAGATAGGGAGAAAGGGAAGTCTCCAAGAAGGTGGCTTCTGAAGTGGGCCTTGAAAGAAAGGAAGGATTTAACAGGAGTTGGGAGAAGATGGGAGAGATGTATCTAAACTGTTGTCATGAAGAAGTGGGATTAGACACACAGACTTGTCCCATATGTGCCAGGTCAGAGAGCTGGTCTACTGGGAAAAGGAATGACCACCATTGAACTGCCAAGTTCAATAATCATCTGAGTGATAGAAACAGATGGGTGATGAGTGCCATCTGCTGGACCTCACACAAGTGACATAAGTCATGAGTGGAGAGCAACTGAACTGTGTAAAGCATCCAAGAAGACCAAAAACTGAGCTATGGCGTGGGGGAAGGGTGTGGGTGTCTGACCACAGCATCAGCCACATGTCCACTGGGTTACTTAGAACAAGCATGATCATAGGTTCTCTGAAGGGCACTGGGCTGAGCCAGGGACAAAGCCAACCCTGCTGTTGAATGGACAAAAGGTGCATGTAGCAACATTTCTGTCTGTCTAGTCACCCTGCTCCTCCCTACCTCCACCCAGCATCCCCAGACTCCTAACGTCTGTTCAGCACCATGGATGTTGTTAGAGCTTATGTATAGACACCCTTTGGGACGCGTGGAGAGGCTGGGGCCACCTGCTGATAAAATAGAGGCGGATGCTCTTTATATAATTAGCACACAATGAGTCAGTGCCAAGATAGCAATTAGTAACAGCACCAAGAATTAGCCCAAGAGAGTTTAAGCCATACAATGGAGGTAAAATGTCAAAGTCTGAGCAATCAAGCAGGGAACTGAATGTTGCGTAACTTACTGGCTGTGTAAGTTATTCCTAGGAAATGGAGTGGGGCTAGGCACACAGGAACACAAAGCCTCGAACAGCTGCGGTCTGTGGCAGTTTGTACAAATTTGCTGATGAGGTTCCCTGGACTTGCCCACAGGGGGCTCCCCTGGAACTGAGGGGTCAAGCGAAGCTGCGGCCAGTGGCAGGAGAATCACTGACGGAGAACAGTGACCAATCAGGTCTGCTGAGAGGGCGGTGAGAGCTGGAAACAATGTTGGGAGGTGGCGAGGTAATGCAGTGGATAGAGCGCCGGGTCTGGAGTCAGGAAGGTCTGAGTTCAACTATGACCTCAGACACTAACAAGCTATGTGACCCTAGACAAGTCACTTAACCTTTGTTTGCCTCACCTGTTAAAAAGAGAATACTAACAGCAGCTAACATGCAGAATTGTCGAGAGGATCAAATGACTTTGTGTGTATAAAGCACTTAGCACAGTGCCTGGCACACAGTAGGAACCTAATAAGTGTTTATTTCTTCTCTTCCTTCCTCCTGCTGCTTACATGGTTGGTGCTCCTCATCAGTAGCACCCCCTAGTTCCCATGGGGCTTGGAGTTCTGTCTCTTCCACAGTTTAGGGACTTCTTTCTTGAAATTCTATTTGTATCACAGGGAGTGCTCAAACTCCGGTACTTTTCATAGGACTTATTTAGGATCACGGGTAACCAGCCCATGAGCCCAATTATCTTTAGCAATGAAGGACCCAGACCTTCTATCTAGTTCAAATTTGGGTTAGTTTCTGGGCACAGCATTCTACCGAAATTGAACAGCCTATGAAGCTTATTAACCTACTACTAGGGCTACAATTAAGCCCAGGAAAAATACATCTCCCCCCGGCTCTTGTTGTACAAGTCCATAGAATGCCAGCCCTCCTTTTGGACCATGGAAGCAGCAATGTTTGACTTCTTCTACAATCACCTCTACTTCCCCAGGCTCTGTAATCAACAGCCTTATGTAGTCAGGCTTGATGGTACCCAAAACCACTACCACTTCCTTCTTAAATGAACTTAATCTGGATTTTATCTGCCCAAACCTTCTGCCTGGGAAAGACATTTTAAAAATTGGGTAATATGTCGAAGGTAGTTTGAGGGCTTCTCTCCTGCCTGGGGCCTTGCCAGGTCTAATCTGGTGTGCCCTTTCTCCTTGCTTGTATTGAGGAGTCATTTTCACTTTCCTGCCAATGATGCCAACTTATCTGGGACTCTTGGCAGTCATCCTAACCTCAAGAATTGGAGTGGTGTAAATGCCAGGTTTAACACAGACAGCACAAGTCAGGGGTATTAAAAAATGTTAACTTAGCTTGTAAAGATACAGAGGTTAAACACAGGGCAAGAATACCTATTGATAGGCCTGGCTCTGGTTCTGTTTCTGTTCTGTTGAGTGCCCACACCTCCCCTGTATCTCCCTTTTTTCTCCAAAGAGACAATGCTTAAGTGATGGCTAGTGTAGCCCACATAATAGTGACAGATTCCCCTCACTGGGCGCCTTTCATAAGGTCCGAGGGATGCCAGAGACCACATGGCCAGTGCAAAGCCTTCCATCAGCGTTGAGACAAAGGAAATCTTTGTGTTCCTGCAGCCTGCAGCCTCTTGCTCCGCGGCAGCCCCTCATTCCCACGTGGTTTATAAATCTATCTGCTCCACAGCCTAGGGTCTTCCTCCCACAACTTGTATCTGCATCGCAGGATCTACTCATACCCAGGCAAATTTTTCAGTTTTTTATATTTCCAAATTGGTGATCAATTTGTAGTTCATCAACTGCCTGGGATACAAAAAGAGGCAAGAGAGAATCCCTGCTTTCTGGAACTCACAATCTAATGAGAGAAACAACGAGCAAACAAATGTGTACAAACAAGCTATATACAGGATAAAGAGGGAATAATTAAGAGAGGGAAGGCACAGGAATTAAAAGGGGTAAAAGGTGGGATTTTAAGGACAGCTAGGTGGCACAGTGGATAGAGCTCCAGCCTTGGAGTCAGGAGGATGTGAGTTCAAATTCAGTGTCAGACACATGAAACTTACTAGCTGTGTGACCCTGGGCAAGTCACTTAACCTCAATTGCCTAAGAAAAAAAAAAAAGGTGGGATTTTGGTTGAGACTTAAAAGAAATTAGAGAAGCCAGGAAGTAGAGATTAGAAGGGAGAGCATGGGGACAGCCAGAGAAAATGCCTAGAACCAAGATGGAGTGTCTTGTTTGTGGAATAGCAAAGAGGCCAGTATCACTGGATCAAAAAGCCCAAGTAGATGTTGGGGTATAAGGCCTGGAAAGGTAGTTGTGGGGGCTTAGAATGGTTAGTTATGGAAGGCTTTGAATGCTCCACTTATCTATCCAGTCTTCAGGTCCTATTAATTCCTTTTTGGAAATGACTTCTCAATATATGCCTTTCTTTCATCCCCACAGTTACCATGGTTACAAGTCCAAGTCCTTATTAATCCATATCCTGACCATTGAAACAACGTCTTAATAGTTCTCCCCCTTGAATCCAATCTGCATCCACTTCCAGAGTTATCTTGGAAAAAATATTTTGAAAAATATCATTGATTCCCCACTGCTTATAGGATAAAATTCAATCTTCTCAGCAGGTTTCCTAGAACAGGTGAAGATAGCTAGAATAAGGGAAGGTAACAGCTTAATGTCAGACCAATAGGGCCAGATGGAAAAAAAGGCAGAGGGGCCTTAGATAAAGTCATAGGTTTATAGGCTTGATAGCTAGACAGGGATTTAGAAATGGTAAAGAATTAGAAATGGAGGGGATGCTCATCAAGTGGGAAATGGCTGAACAAGCTGTGGTAAACAATTGTGATGAATTACTATTGTGCTATAAGAAATGATGAGGGGGAATGGTTTCAGAAAAACCTGGGAAGACTTACATGAATTGATGCAAAGTTAAGTGAGCTGAACCAGGAAAACATTGTACATATTAACAGCAACATTATGCCATGATCAACTGCGAACCACTTAGCCACTCTGATCAACATAATGATCTAAGAAAATTCCAAAGGACTTGTGATGAAAAATTTGACCCACCTCCAGAGAAAGAAATGATGAGCTCTGGGTGCACACTGAAGTGTAGTCTTCTCACTTTATTTACTTTTCTTGCTTTTTGGGGCATGATATGGCTAATATCGTGCTTTGCATGATTTCACATGTATAATTAATATCATATTGCTTGCCTTCTCAGTGGGTAGGGGAGGAGTGAGGGGAAGAGAATTTGGAACTAAAAATGTTTAAATGTTAATAAATAATATTTATAAGTAAACAAATAGAGAAATAAAATAAAATAAATCACCTAGTCCAAGCCTTTCATTTTATAGACAGAGGAGCAGGGTCAGAGAAGAGAAAGGAGTTGCCCATGGTCACACAGGCTATAAATCCATAGAGTCCATGGTGGATTGGTCCCAAAGAAGGTGAGGAAAGTGGGAAAGCAGCTTCTTGAACTCTCATGGGGATAGGGTGGGGACTGAAAAGGTTCATGCTAAGTAAGACTAGAGAACAAAAAGGAGTGAAGATGGATAGCCCAGCCAAGGAAGGACTTTGGGGAGCTTCTCTGAGACCTGGGACCCACTACAGCCACGTTCCATAAGCTTCCTCCTTATTCCCCAAGTTCCAGTCTGGTCTCAGTTTCCCTTTTACACCATCTCTGCCAGTGAGGAAGGAAGGAGTACATTATGGTGTACCAGGTCCAAGTGTAAAGTACCTGGGGCAATGGAAGAACTAAGACAGAACTATCTGGGGACCTGCAACTTACTTTGCAGAGCAGGCAACTGAGGTTTTGTCCCAGGGCATTGAAATTCAAGGGGAACAAAATTTAACTCACAACCTTATAGCTTCTCTAGTAACTAATCCAGGCCCCCTCAACTCCCCCCAAAGAACAACTGAATTTTTCTTAATTACTGATCAATTACTTTTCATATCATGAATTATAAAGTTGATTTTAATGTGTATAAAGTTAGTGAAACTTCATACCCATTCTTGCTGTTTGCCTCAAGCACAAAAGCTGCTAGTTAAGGATAATAGGAATGTGGGAGTACAGATTTAGAACCGGAACAGTCTTAGGGTACAATGGGATCCTTTGGGTCCAACCCCCTGGATTTACAGATGAGGAATTTTCCCACAGCTAAGAAGTGTCTGAGGTGGGATTTGAACCTAGGAAAGGGCACTAACCTTCATGTTTAGTGCCCTACCTATTATACCATACTGCTTTTGATTTGTGATGTTACCCAAAGGCAGGGGCCAGAGCAGAGGGAAAGACCATGGAAGTGTCAGGCTCATTGGAACTTCAGGTGCTGCTCTGGGGGGACGTTGTAGGTGGTCTTGTGGGCTTCAAAGAGGCTGCACGGTTCTGTCATATAACACTGGTCTTACTGATGGGTTGGGTTGGTATTTTGCTCCACCTCAACTGGCTTCCCCACTGGGAGATACAAAGCAGGGATAGAAGCTGAGAAGGTTTCTGCACTTCTCCCATCCAACAAACAGAGATCCAATGAGTGGGAAAACTTTGGAACCTAACTTGACACTGGGACCAACAACCACATGGGACCCCCTAGGTCATAATACACTGGGTCTCAGTTTCTCTGTCTGCCAAATGGGATGACTCCAAGACCTTGCAGTCCTTGAACTCTCAGGGACACTGGATACCTAGGGGCAGAGTGGGCAATGGTAATGGGGAGAAGGCCCAGAGGAGAGAACTCACCTCTGTCACCATTCAACCCAGCAGCTTCAGTCAATAAAGCAATCCCCTTGAAGGGGTGATGAAACGGAAGCCATTATATCATAGAATCATAGGTTTAGAGCTTGAAGGGACCTTAGAGGTCACTAAGTCTGGATTTCTCCTTTTACAGACAAGGAAACTGGGGCCCAGACATATAAAGTGACTTGTCTAGGATCACACAGCCATTTGAATCCAAGTCTTCCTGACTCCAAATACAGTATGCACTGCTCCACCCTGACCCAGCTGTCTGATTCTTTCCTTCTCCTGGGATCCCTTTAATGACCTTTCAAATGTTTCCTCTGCCCAAGCCCCTGATGAACCTCATTTGTTGATGAGGAGTCAGGTGTAGATGGACCTGGGACCTCAGGGACCAAGACCTGATTGCTCTCAAATTCCTTCCTCCAACAGCCCTGAAGAGCAATT